GATAAAATAAATTTTTTCATTGTTCAATTATATTGTAAGTAAGATTATTTAATTATCATATAGAATGTAACTATATATTTATATCAATAACTGTTATTAATTAATGTAATTAATCTTCTAAAACCAAACAATTTTTATACAGGGCTATCTCTTGCAAGTATTGCACAAAGTAAATATTTAATGATTTAGAATTTAATTCTCTTTTGTTGTTAAAATTATGTAGTTTTTAATCTGTTAAAAATTGTTTATAAGATTAACAAATATCAAAGGAAGAAGCGTATATGCATGTCAGCAAAATTCCTTTGTCACGTTCAGTGGTGTATTCGGCCATGAACAATCAACACAAAAATGATAAGCATAATTCATATTATTACAAATTGTTATTTCGAGAAATAGCAATCTATAAGAAATGATTAGTTTCTGCAATATAAAGTTCAGTAAATCTTATTTATTTTCATAAGGATCTATAAAAAGACGCGTTGCGCCGACATGATGACAACGTAAAATTGGAAGCCAGCATGGACGCATTTTATTTGCATATTTCACGTTTTGACTTAGAATATTAGTATGAAATCATTAGAGATGTCATTCGGTTAAAGGTTTTTTTTTTGTTCAATTAGCTTACCTTTTTGGCTCACTCATTATTCACTTGACTTTTATGCAAAAGACAATGTACACGCAACGATCAGACTCAGTATCGCAATATGTACGACTCAGCAACACTTACACCCGATCCAATGAACATTCCTCATTTGAACTTCCATGGCTTGCATTGGACTCTCCTATTGCCGAATCAAAAACTAAAGGCGAATTCACAATAAATTTGTAAATTTTATGTAATGTATTGCTGTTTTTAAAAAATCTTATTGATTGTAGTAATGTAGACTTATGATTAACTCAATTCAAACCGATATCTTATTATCAGACATTTATCAAAAGCTGAAATTTTTTCTCATGTTATATTCATGAATAAAAATTTTACTGGTCTTGGACCATTTATTTTTTTATTTTAGCTCTTAAATAATAACAATTTTAATTTATATATATTCGTTTTTATTATTTCTCTTGTGTGCGATTTTATCTTCCGACAGCTTCTTTAGAACTGGACTCTTAACATCAATCTTTTTAAACTAGAGAGATAGTGAATATAGTGGATTGACGCACATAGTGCGTTATCGGCTTGAAATAAATTAATTTTAATTTTCAATTTTACATTTTTGTTATAGAATTAAATCAAATTTAATTACAACAGTTTCAAAAGGAATTACATGTCATATTGTTACATACTCTGAAGTACATGAAATACTGACATAAATAAACAAAATATTACTATTCTTTGTTAATTTAGCAAATAAAATAAATATTTTTCATAAAAATTAAACAAGTCTTTTCACTATTTAAATGCAACATCCTTATACATATAAATATTACTAGACATTTATCAACTACACACAGAACTGAAAGTATTAAATGTAACGTAATATTCGTAAACGTAAATATTCACAAAAAGTGTGTATTTTTTTCCTTTTAAATTTATGCTGTATCCATTTGACAATCTAGCAGTATTTAAAAGTGTGTTAGGCTTTAGATAGTTTTACGTCACAACATTCTTAAAGGGAGAGTACGATAAATATACTTACTTGTCAAATCGGTCTATAATGGCTGGGATTAAAGGTTATTTGGCATATTTTTAATTATACACATATATAAACTCTTATCATAAAATAAAAAAGATAATACTACCAATGAAAGTTTAACGAAGGAGTTAAATTAAAAAATCATGTGTTAAAACATAACCTTACTATTCTTATTGTCATTGCTGTCAAATTTTTGTGTATAAGCGGCGCATGCTTCTTAACTTATTTTATATATGCATACATAAAGTCATTTAGTTTTTATTTAACACAAACGTTTTTTTAGTTTATTTATTATGACATTTATTAATTTCTTTTTTATGAACTACTTTTTGATGTCATTATAACTATTTATATACATTCAAACATTTTTATTAATTAGTGTTAATATTTTTATATTAAATGTTTTCTAAAGAATTGCAAATATTTTTAATAGATAAAAGTTTTTACAGATGTAAATATGTTGCATCAAATGATATATAAAATGGAGAAATATAGTGTTCTTCATTGTACATTTCATATTAGATACATATGTAAATGTTCTTTATATTTATACTTTTAAGTAATGTTTTTCTTATCGTTTAGATTATACTTTGCATAAATATTTAATATTTTGGTTCAATATTTAAATCATTGTTGATAAAATACTCTTTTTAAAACATTTCATTGGATAATTATGTAAACTATAATTATTTAGAATTTCAAACTTATATATATTATTTTATAACAATTTATATAAATTACTCTTACTTTTGTTTCACGCTATTAATGGTCTTCATTAACAAACAGGGTAAATACATTAAAATACAATTTATAAGTAACTTTCCTCTAATATACATAATAACAACAAATTTTTACAGATTAATAATTTTGGCATTTGCTGGCTCCATTGGCATGACACTTGTCATACTTAGTTGTGCTTTACCTTAGAGTATGCTGGCCACTTTTTGTTGTGTTATTCTATGTACTGGCTCCAATCCCAACAATAATTGCACGTCGTTACACATCTGAATTTGGAAATAATCCCAATCCATGTCTGGAATTGGCAATATTCATCACTATGGGCTTTGTTGTATCATCTTTTGCTCTTCCCATTGTCTTAGCTCGGTCTCCAGCCAATGATCCAGTGGTACATTTAAATTATACATATTCTCTAAATTTATTATTATGTTATATTTTTATATAAGTATGCATAACAAGGATATTCCTTAATATAAATAATTTTGCATATTTTTACTATATACTTTTAGATACAATGGGGTGCTTGTTACTTGACTTTAGCAGGTAATGTTGTTGTGTACCTAACTCTAGTCGGACTTTTTGTAACTGTTGATCAAGATGATATTGACTACAACACAATGCTGTCCTGAAATGCTGTACTTATTTATTAATTTTTCATGGTAATATTTCCAATTACATTTTTATTATTACTTTTAATTTATTTTCTATTTTCTGTATATATCATTTTAACACTTTCAGGTTTTTCCAAGAAAAAAAGAAGAATGTAAATCACATACTGCACTGACTGACAGTTTTGTGTTGATTCTAAGTCACCACAAAATGTATAGTATATTACTTATATGATACACATATTACTATAAATCATTTATAATATAGTCGATACTAATACTATAACAAATAGTATTACTATAAGTAATACTAAAATCAATGATAGCTTATTTTATTATTATTATTCAGCGTTTAAAAATTTGAATTCTAAAGACAAAATTATTACAAAGTTTCTTGGATAAAAGTAGAAGTATAATTATGCTGAAACATGTAAAATTTAGTATATTACTATTTATTTAATTTCATTTTTT